AGATGCTGGCATACATGGCAATGTAGCCTATTCTCTGTTTCAAGGCAGTGGAGGTTCTCAACCATTTGTAATAGATGAAGCCACAGGAGAAATTCGTCTTAAAGGGGCATTGGATTTTGAGACAACTCCATATTATAACATGGAAATTGTAGCCAGAGACAGTGGAGGTCTTTCAGGAAAATGCACTGTAGCTATACAGGTGTTGGATGTGAACGACAATGCCCCTAAACTCACCATATCTTCACTCACTAATTCCATCCCAGAAAATGCTCCTGAGGCTGTAGTTGCTGTTTTCAGTGTCTCTGACCCAGATTCTGGGGATAATGGAAAGATGGTTTGTTCTATTCAGAATGAACTTCCATTTCTTTTAAAACCCACATTCGAGAGTTACTATTCTTTAGTGACAGAGGGGCCACTGGACAGAGAGAGCAGAGCTGAGTACAATATCACCATCACTGTCTCCGATCTGGGCACACCCAGGCTCACAATTCAGCACACCATAACAGTGCACGTCATAGACATCAACGACAATGCCCCTGCCTTCACCCAAACCTCCTACACCCTGTTGGTCCATGAGAACAACAGCCCTGCCCTGCACATAGGCACCATCAGTGCCACAGACTCAGACTCAGGCTCCAATGCCCACATCACCTACTCGCTGCTACCGCCCCAAGACCCGCAGCTGGCCCTCGACTCGCTGGTCTCCATCAATGCAGACAACGGGCAGCTGTTTGCGCTCAGGGCAATGGACTACGAGGCCCTGCAGACCTTCGAATTTCTTGTTGCTGCCACAGACGGAGGCTCGCCTGCACTCAGCAGCCAGGCTCTGGTGCGGGTGGTGGTGATGGATGACAATGACAATGCACCCTTCGTGCTCTACCCGTTGCAAAATGCATCCGTGCCCTGCACTGAGCTGGTGCCCAGGGCGGCAGAGCCCGGCTACCTGGTCACCAAAGTTGTAGCAGTGGACTCTGACTCTGGCCAGAATGCCTGGCTGTCATTCCAGCTGCTCAAGGCCACGGAGCCTGGGCTGTTCAGCGTGTGGGCGCACAATGGCGAGGTGCGCACCACCAGGCTACTGAGCGAGCGCGATGCACCCAAGCACAGGCTGGTGCTACTGGTCAAGGACAATGGCGATCCCCCGCGCTCTGCCAGTGTCACTCTGCACGTGCTAGTAGTGGATGGCTTCTCTCAGCCCTACCTGCCCCTGCCAGAGGTGGCGCGTGACCCTTCACAGGAAGAAGACTTGCTCACACTTTACCTTGTTGTTGCCTTGGCCTCTGTGTCTTCGCTCTTCCTACTGTCTGTGCTGTTGTTCGTGGGGGTGAGGTTGTGCAGGAGGGTCAGGAAGGCTTCTCTGGGAGGCTGCTCTGTGCCAGAGGGACACTTTCCTGGCCACTTGATGGACGTCAGCGGTATGGGGACACTGTCCCAGAGCTACCAGTATGAGGTGTGTCTTAGCGGAGACTCTGGGACAACAGATTTCAGATTCCTGAACCATTATTCGCAGTAGTGTCGTTCAGGAATCCAACAGAATTTTAGTGTTAGGGCACCCATGTTTTGGTAACTGAATAAGAATTAATTTCTTGGTGTTTTTTTTTAACTTTTTTCTTTTCTTTCTTGTTTTTTTTTGTTCTGTGCTTCATATTTTATCAATCCAATTCTAATGCATGTTTTTCTTCACTAATTTAAAAGAGAATAAGTATCTTTGTTCTGTTTCTGTTCTAAGAAATTAGGAATAATTTCTTCCTCCGCATTTATGACTATATTGGAAATTTTTCCACTTCAAATTGTATCATGTTGAGGCTGTGCATGTAACTAGCTAAGTAGTTCTTTTTTTGTTTGTTTGTTTTAAACTTTCACTGCTATGCTTTAACTATGCTAAGTACAATTCATTGGGACATTTTCAGAGATGCATATACCACATCATGATAACATTCACCTAATTTTCACCTTCTATAATCCCACTGTTTCTCCCCATCAGTCTCCTAAATGCCCCACTTTGCTTTCACGTGCTAATTGTGTTAAAGTGTGATAATTTAGGCTAGATGATCTGGAGTTTCATTTTTTCCTGAAAACACCAATTTCATTTTTCTTGACACCTGAGCAAAGCAACTCCATTGTGCATGTATGTGTTTTCCTCCCCCACACGCCTATTACATATGATGGTAACACAGCTTTGTCTACAGCTGATGAAGTGTGAACATAATATACAGTCATTTGTCATATCTTAGGTGTTTTGTACACAGGCAGAAGTAGTACAATTAATTTATTATCTTTATTGACTACCACAATTAGTGTTTCAATATTTTGTTTGCTTATATACAACCCTATATTGCTACTAAAATGTACCGGAAATGACCGTTCTTCACTTAAGCCATTGTAAGTGATGTAGTGTGCGTTCCTTTGCATAAGCAGACATTTACTGAGGCATGTGTTCGGATGATGAGTTGAATTGTAAACCGTGGATGCAAATGAAGGCACATTAAACTTTCAACAGAATATGCAGGTGAATGGTTTTAAGTGTTTTAATCATTTTATTATTAATACTTGACATAAATACAGTGCCTTAAGGCAAATAATTTTGTTACTTCCTATTGAGAGGTCCTCCCTTCCTATTTCAATCTGTCTTGATGTAGGAATATTTGGGGATGAAAATTGTCAATTTACAGCAGATTTCTACCTACAACATTGTAATTAAATGGTGTGAAAATATAGAATTAATTATTGTGGAAAAAAATATTATCATTTGGATTGTTTGAATTTTCTACATTGAAAAATAACATGTGGAAGCAGCCAAAGCCACAGAATGAAATTTTAAAAATTTTTACATGGCAAATTAGTATTTTTGTTAAATTTATTTAAAATTTTTTGTTTTCGTGTTCTGTTGTCCAGAGGTATCTATCTAATATTTGAATGTTACTATCTAAAAGAAAATAATTGAATCTATAAAAAAATGAATAGTTTTTGAAACCCTGGAAAGACAACACTTTAAGATTGGCATGCTCCCAAACATCAGTACGTTCAATTGTATGGTTATAGCCACACTTAAGTTCTCTTGAGAGCAGGAGAAGCACCTTCCGTCCTGAAGCTCCCTAGCACCAAAATTTTATGTAAATTAGCAAGAGTAAATTCTGAATAATCAGAAAATATATTCTGTCCAGCCCAAATGCTGTGTATAAAAACTTTAATTGAGTTCTTCAACTTTTCATACTTTTGTTCCTTTTCACGAACACTGTGAAATTCATACAGTATAATTATTTTTGAGAGGCACTATACCATACGACATCGGACTAAAGTTGGAAGGGCTACATGTTGATGATCCATTTACAACTTTAAAATAAATGATGAGACTACTATGAGTAGGGGAGAAAGAGAGGAGAGAGAGAGGGGGGGGGG